ATGCTATTACAAACACTATCTAAAGGTTCTTTTTTCTCCTCCTTTTTCTTCCTCCTCCATTCTTTATATATTAGGTATCATATTCTGTACTCATTCTCTATTCCTTGATGGACGTTGGGGATAGTTGATTTAATTTTGCATTTCCTTAGTTATTAACTGTTCTACTTTCTTTATTGTGGTTTTATTACCTCTGGTGACAACTATTTAGCCTTAGGAACACATCCATGTATAGCAGTCCCTCCAAAATACACTGTAGAGGTGGTTTGTGGGAGGTAAATTCTCTCAGCTTTTGCTTATCTGGAGATTGTTTAATCCCTCCTTCAAATTTAAGTGATAATCTTGCCATATAAAGCATTCTTGTTTTGAGGCCCTTCTGCTTCATTGCATTAAATACATCATGCCACTGCCTTCTGGCCTGTAAGGTTTCTGTTGAGAAGTCTGATGGTAGCCTGATGGGTTTTCCCTTGTATGTGATCTTCTCTCTCTGGCTGCTTTTAATAATCTGTCCTTATCCTTGATCTTTGCCATTTTAATTACTATATGTCTTGGTATTGTCTTCCTTGGCTCCCTTGTGTTGGGAGATCTGTGTTCCTCCATGGCCTGAGAGAGTATCTCCTTCCCCAGGTTGGGGTCATTTTCAGCAATTACTTCCTCAAAGGCACTTTCTATCCCTTTTTCTCTCTCTTCTTCTTCTGGTACCCCTTTAATGTGAATATTTTACCATTTGGATTGGTCACACAGTTCTCTCAATATTCTTTCATTCTTAGAGATCCTTTTTTCTCTCTGTCCCTCAACTTCTTTGTATTCCTCTTCTCTAGTTTCTATTTCATTTATTGTCTCCATCATATCTAATCAACTTTTAATACCCTCCATTGTGCTCTTCAACGATTGGATCTCCATCCGGAATTCATTCCTGAGTTCTTGAATATTTTTCTGTACCTCCATTAGCATGTTATTGATTTTTATTTTGAAATCCCTTTCAGGTAGATTCATGTGGTCGATTTCATTTGAATCTTTCTCAGGTGTTGTATTTGTGATTTTACGTTGAACCAGGTTCCTTTGACATTTCATATTTGTATATGGCGCCTTCTACTATCCAGAAGCTCTATTCTCTGGAGCTTCTCAGCCTCTGAAGCAGTGTCGCAGGTCTCAGGGCAGTGGTATTGGTGCCTGAGGGGAAGAAAGAGCTGTTTCCTACTTCCAAGCTGCTATGCATTCCTCCACTGCTAGAACCAGTGGGACAAGCACACAGGTATAAGCCTCTGTGGTTTGTGTTTGTAGTTGCTGTAAACAGGGATTCCCTCTGGCTGACCTAATGCCAGGGTAGGGTTTGACGGTTTGTGAGCCAGGTTGTTGTAGCTGGGAGAAAGGCCAGTAGGCTGAGTATCACAGAGGGGGTCCTTGGAGCTGTGTAGCCAGGGAGCTGGAGCTTTGGGCATAGTGCACCCAAACAATTTTGTCTACCTGTCCTTTCTCCTGAGCAGTAAGCTCTGTGCAATTCTTGCCCTTTTAGCAGCCCTCTTGCTGCTAGGAAGTCTCTCAGACTGCCCGCCTTTCTTTTGTCCCAGAGCAGCTGGATATGGATCCCTGTTTTCCACAAGTGGCTGGAATCTCAGTCTCTCCAGGTATTCTGCCTGTCTTAGCTTCCCAACCTCCTAATCACAAGAGTACCATGAAAGCACCATGAAATGTAGGTTTGTGCTCCCAGAGTAGATCTTCCAACTTATGTATTCAGCAGTCCCAGGCCTCCACTCCCTCCCCACTCCATTTCTCTTCCTCCCGCCAGTGAACAGCTGGGGTGGGTAAAGGGCTTGGGTCCCACCAGGCCATGGCTTTGGAACATTATCCTGTTCCGTGAGGTTTATTCTTTCCTCCAGGTGTATGCAGTTTTGCACAGACCTCTTTCCTGTTTCTCTTTTCAGGATTAGTTGTATTAATTCTATTTTCCTATTATATGCAGTTTTAGGTGGAAGCCTCTGTCTCACCTTTCATGTGCCAACTTTAATCCTCTCTTGTCATTTTAAATATGATATAATGTCATATTAAGGCTTAGTGTGACTCTGAAATCTTATTCCAGTCACTGAGAATGCAACAGTGAACTAGATATGGTCACTGCCCTGGTTGAAATTAAAGTCTAGTGGAGCCAAGAAACAAGTAAATTGGCTGTTACCTAAGCATGCGAAGAAAAGAAACAAAGTATACCAGTAGGGAATATGATGAGGGTGTGTCAGGAAGACACTGCTTTAGATAAGGTAGTGGGAAGAAACCCTTTGGAAATTAAAACATTTTAAACTGGGACTTGGAGGATAAGCAAAAGTTATGTTCCAGGTAAAGGAAACAAGGTGTCAAGCTCTTGAGGTCCAAGAGAGCCTCATTCACATTTTCTTTCAAGCATAAAGATAACTGATTTAACTTTCTACTGAAATGGTTATAATTGAGGCAATTCACTTAAATTGTCATCATCCAAAAATAGCCTCCCTTTCACTCTGTACCTTAAATGATGACCCCTGAACCATTCAGAGTATGACTATGGCGTGTAGTCTTATTTTAAATATGACTAATCTAATACTTCCTGTATAAGGGATTTTCAATACCTGTTAGCTCCTTTCCCTTCTCCCTACTCCTCAGCATTGTTAGGGATGTGCTGGCTGGGCAACTCCTCTTCTGTGCACCCCTTCCCCTCTCCCCTCCCACCCCATCCCACCAAAGTTATGTAGGATTTCATGTGGGGATACAGAGCCCAACCAAGAAAAATATCATTGTCTCCAGCCCTGCCCCTCTTCTCTGTATTAAGCCTCCCAGGGGCCCCTGTCTTCTAAGTCTCTTCCAGTTTGTCATGTTGAATTCGGCTCATTTCATGAATGTTATCAGGACGTTCGGCAGTCTGTAAGAACTCAAGTCCCAGTTACCTCTCTACCCTGCCCACCAGGCCTTCCAGGTTTTTCCCCTTTCTTCATCGTAAGGGAGACCTTTGTCTCTTGCATGACTTCTTCAACAAGAAGCTGTTCTGGTTCATGCTGAAATGGGGAGTGAGGTGGCGGGGGGCGGGGGGCTGGTTGAATTACTTTGGAATTCCTCTGACTTCCTCTTTGGTATTTCTCAGGTAATCATTCTCCCAAAGGCCATCAGTTATGAAGGCCTTGATAGCCAGAACAAGATGTGGCCTTGGCTGCTGCTGAGCTGGTAGACAAGGGACTGGCTTTTTACCTATGACTGGCAGCTCTAGAGAAAGACACCGCCCGATGCCAGTAGTAGTTAAGACTTCGCTGGTTTCCCTGGTCCCACGTGAAGTCGCTGCCATACGAAATGCTTTTTTCCTGGCAGTAATAGAAGTGGTGGAGGTGAGGAGAGAACACTGGGCCTTCAGAATCCCTCTCTGTGACTTCATTTTTCCCTTATCAGTAAAATGAGTGTCTAAAGTCCCTTTTAGTTCTAATATATCATGTTTCTATTTTAAACCATGTAGTAGTTTTGTCTCTAATGTCTGACATATATAATGTTTATATTGGAATTTATCCCATATATGAGATCAATGCATATGTGGAAGCTTAATAGCTCTACTGGACGAGCTAGATTTGCTCATTTAACAGTGGGGGTTGGACTGTAGTTGGAAAACTTTGTAACCAGTATCTCTTCCTGCAAGTTTCTTGAATGCCGTTGAAAGCAGCTGTACTGTATGAAACTAATAGAACCTGAGTTGGTCCCCAAAGAATGACCATGTGTCCCTGAAAATGGTGGTGAATGACTTGAAGTGTTTCTCACTCTGTCAAGGGGATACAATTGTATTGACGTGGTACTGTGCTGTGTAATTCTGAGTTCTGTTGCTCTCTAAATTGGTCCCTCCTTCTTTTGCAGGAGCTATTGTGACAATCTTGGTTACCATCCATTAAGTGCTGCTGACTTTGGAAAGATCATGAAAAATGTCTTTCCAAACATGAAGGCACGTCGTCTGGGCACAAGAGGCAAATCCAAATATCCTTTACCAGAATGGTTTTCAGTAATCTCTTCAAGTTCTCACTTACTACAGAACATCTGCTGTTGTAGTTCAACTAACACCTATATTTAGAAATAAATATAAATCAACAAATACAAACAACTCAAAAGTACTTAGCAGTGTTATTTTCCCAGCTATTTATCAAATTGCCAATGTTACTTCCCCAGCTATTAATCAAACTGCAAGAGAAATAAATGGTGGTTACTAGGATTGTGATAGAGTTCTCCCCTGTCACTGTAATGTGTTCTTAATGGTCTGATCTTTTCTTTATCAGTAAGAATTACAGAGGCATGCCAAAGTACAGCAGTTGTAAATTATATCAATAAAAGTAGAGAAAGATGTGAACTTATGTTCTTCCCTTGTTCTAATTTAGAAACAGGGATCCCCTTGGCAAACTATACAACATTCAAAAATGTTTCTTTTGGAACTTGTACTGGAAGATTGGTGTTCTCTTTGAAGCATTTTTCAGCCAACCATGTAAACCGTGTATTACAATGAAAGCCAGGGCAGAGCAAAGGTCCCTCTTGTAATAGAGAAATACTTAGGGGCAAACAGAAGCAAGGAAATGAAAATTAAGAATTTACTAAAGTTCTTCCTGCTCTTGGAAGAAGATTGTAAAATAGAGGGTCTCTATATTGTATTAGAAATACATCATTTCTCTCTACTTAGATTTTGGCCTTTTTCAAAGCATGAAAATTCCCTGCTATGGGGGGATGGGAGGAAGGCAGAGGGGGAAGGCTCCTTTCCTAAAGTGGTTCCAGGTGTTGTTTAACCACTTGTTGCATGACCTTATCCTTGTTTCCTCAGTACGAAGATGTCTTAATATGTCTTTGGCATGTTACAGGCGATAATCCTGTGTGTTTCAGTGGAAAAAGAGGATTGAAAAGGTTAAAGCTCTTGTGACACTCTCAAGAGTTGTTTTTGTCCCAGTGCCTAGGCTGAAGTTTCCCTTCTCTGTGCCAGGTTTCCATCTGGATATTGCTTTACTTCTGACCTGTTTGTTACTGATGGCTGGCACAGCTTATTAGGAACATTTATTCATAAAATTTATAACACATGAGAATCATTTTGTTTCATTTAAGACAGTAACGTTCTACAAAGAGTATTCCAGTTTCAAAAGCGTAGAAGTGTCCTGAGTTTATAATATTAAGATTTCTCATGCTAAAGAACTTAGAAAGTAGATGTTAATGTGTTTTTCTCAATTCATGGTTACTTCTCAAGGACTGATTATATAAGCAATTCATGTAATTTAGAATACTTTAGACCTTAACTGTTCATTACATATTGCTACAGTGGACTAAGAAAAAAAGCTTTTGTTCATATGCCTACACTGCCCAATCTTGACTTCCACAAAACTGGAGATGGGGTAAGAATTCTGCTTTTTTTAAATAAATAGAACTGTGCCTTATTATCAGCATTGAAATGCATATTGCATAGTCTCATCATATAAAACCAGGGACCAGGAACTGTGCCTTTTACAAGTTAATGAGATGAAAAATTCAACATTGGCTGAAAAGCATTAGCATACATGATTTATGTCAATGTGGCCCATGAAATGAGGGGGAACAGAGACCTAAGCTTACTGATTTGTAAATGTATCCATGATAAATACTGACTATATGTATTGTCAAGAGGAAAAATGTAATTGTACAGTAATATATATGGTATGATCCCTTTTTCTTCTTTTTTGGTTGATTTGATTTCCTTTTTGACTTATTTATCTAATACCACCTTGGTGTACAAGAGACTCAGAGTGGCCAAAAGTACATAGAAGAGAAAATACAGCTAAGTGGCATAGCTTGTTTTATTGACATAAGAAAATGCTGTTAGAAAGACTCAAAAGATCTCTTAGTCTTCGTATGTGTCTGACAGCTGTTTAGATGTATTCTCAAGGCTGCTGGCGGCTGTGCACTGGGGGGATGGGCTTCTTACTTGCAAAGCTCTTACATGCCTGCTAACAGGTCTCTTCACAGTACTTCGACCCAGCAGATTGAGATTATATCTCCTAATCAAGAATACACATCTTCAGGGTGCTTCAGTTTAACTTCTCTGAACTTTCTTCTTAAAGCTAACTTTTCCTTTTTCCTTTATTTAGTTGGAAGGAGCTGAACCTTCTGGGCAGCTTCAAAATATTGACGAGGAAGTTATCTCTTCTGCTTGCCGCCTTGTGTGTGAATGGGCCCAGAAAGTGTTAAGCCAGCCGTTTGACACAGTCTTGGAATTAGCGCGCTTCCTTGTAAAAAGTCATTATATAGGCACCAAGTCAATGGCAGCTCTGACTGTGATGGCAGCAGCGCCACCAGGTAAAAGCGATTGTCAACAAGCTGGTACTGGTGGGAGTGTTACTGTAACTAGAGTTGGTAGCAAAAGAAAAGTTTAGGCAATGAACTTAATTTTTTTTTAGTTTTTGAATGAGTTTAATATTTCATTTGCTTTTTTAAAATTTAAAGGATGTATATGTGTGTACTTCTAAGCACATATGTGTATCTAAATAAATAGTGGATAAGATTTAATTTTAAAACTACTCACTAGACTCCTATCCCAGAAACAAATGCTTTTAAATAAAATGATCTTTGGACAATGTGAGAGTAACCCTAGTCTCACAAAAAATAAACTGTATAGAGCATTACTATAAAAGAGCAAGAGTGATTTTTTAAAAATATGTACTCAAATGAGTATTGTCATTCAATAGGAAATTTAGAATTGACAATTTTAGGAATTGACAGTATTGTAGAAATAATAGAAATAAATGACTGCCTCCCAAGTTAATAGCTGGCTACAGTATCTTCTGATAAAATTTATATCTCCTTTCAGTCATACCTTGTAAGTCTAAAAAGGAGTGAATAAATTATGTGATTACTCTAGGAAATTATAATTTCTGTGAAAAATGTATTGACATGAAACTTGTTTTCCGGAGAAGTCTTCTGATTGTGAAATGTAAATATTTTTAGATCTTCAGTAGCTTTATTCCAGACATATTGTAGTCTCCTAAATAACTTCATTTTTTTTATGTGAACTGATCATTTTAATAATCATTTTTTATTTCAGTTTATACTTCTCAGAAGCTTTGAGTATTTGTGGTGGGTGTGTGCAGTTGTTCTGTCCTTTCATTCTGTGGTCAAGTGAGGACCCACTCAGCAAAATGACCTCATACAGGAGCCTTGTCATGATTTTTCTGTCTGGATGTAAACTGTATGACCCAAATTGATCCACTTACACTTACACATGAGCAGGAGAGTTCTTCGGCAGCCTCATCTGGCTAGATAGCTGATATGTGACTTATTTATTCCCCTAGCAGTCATTTGAGGTAGGTAGTTCTTTTTCCCATTTCACAGATCAAAAAACAGACTTAGGCAAGTTAAGAAATTTGTCCATGGGCAGGTAAATAGTGAGATCAGGCTTTAAATTCTGATTTTGTCTGTCTCAAAAGCCCAGGTTAACTGCATTACACCATACTGTCTTCTTATTTTCTGGCAAAATGAGGTTTTAAAAGATAATGGATTATTTAGTTTGCTGAATTCTCTTTCTCCTGCCCCTATTGACACTTAGAGAGTACTTCTAAGAAGTTGAGGGCTTAGGCGGTATCATGGGAAAATTAACATCTGTCTTCCTCATTTCCCAGACATTTCTCAGACATTGTTCACAGTCTGACCAAAAGAAATGTTGAATTGAATTAATGAATTTTTAAAACATAGTGTAAAGAAAGGTGCTTTTAAAACAAACATACTAAAGATTACATATGTAAACATGTGTTTTCCCTTTGTGAAAGTAGTCAGCTTGGGAGGCTGTTACTTTAATAATTATATTATTACTCAAAACATTTTTTGGAGGCCAATGCCTTAACAAGGCATTTTAGAATATAATCTCTCTTGAAATTTTGTGCTCAGCCATTGCCACATTTTTTGAAGTATCTTTGGTAGTGATTAATCTTCATCCTTTGAAGGGGAATTTGGCCTTTTATAAATACAGTCTCCATATTAAGAACAGGTTGTGTTACAAATGTCCTTTTGCCTAAGTCAGCTGCTTGGAACTCATTCCTGTCCAGAAACCCTGGCAGGAGGGGCAGACAGCCTAGCTTTGAGCCACTGGCAGGGACTCCCAGGGGTGCATATTCAGGAAGCCAGAGCTGAGGCTGGGGGCCAGGAGAGAGCAGTGCAATTTGAGCTCGATTTGAAGAGAAAAAAAATAGCACTTAGGTGATCAAAAGGGGGGTCAAAAGATGAGGGGTTATTGAGGAGTGAGTGTGTGAGTTTACAGTCACTTTTTTGCTCTCCTTCCCATCTTGCCCTACCCCAGTTGTTGCTGTTAACAGAATTATGAAAAGCAGAAACTGAGAGGAGGAGAGGACGGGCAACGGGTGCCGGCGGTGGTGGCGCCCTCCCCTTCCTCCTCTCTACTGTGTGTGCTGACCACAGCTCATTGATAATGATCTTAATGCCATGCTCCAAATCTGAAACGAACTTTTTAAAAGTTTGTATTATGCAATCCATTTTTCTAAAATTAAAATTTATCCCTTGCTTATTTTTTATCATTTTTCTCAGTGTTGATTTTATTACTGCTTTAAAAAGTTTTCTCAGTGACACTTTCTCAAAATTTCTTAACTTGAGTCTTATTAAGAAACTCTGCTTGGTTTCTTCTTGGTCATACTGGATAACTGTACAGTATAGTTAAAATAGTAGTACCTATTTTTGTGAATTTCTGATAGAATTAAAGACTTGTTTTCCCCATACAAACTTTTTTCTAAGATGTGGATGGTTTCAGCAAATATTTATTGAGGCCCCTTATGCGTTAAATATTAAAATCATGAAAAAATATAAATTTCTAATTAGAGAAAGGGGAGGTTTCTGACATCTACTGGTAAAGTGTGAAACATGCTCCAGCATTTATTTATCTTAGCTTCTGCACACTTATGACATAGCTACTTCTCTTTTCAAAATCTTCATCTGTTATTGTTGATGTAACTGAAGCTGTTGCCTGAGTTGAACCTTATTTTAAAGTGTCAGTTGAAACCATATTGGCAAATGTTTATGAATTAGAAGTCTAACACTTATGCTTTATAAAGAAATTATGTAAAAATTTGCTGATTTTGGTGCTTCATCCAATAGATGACTACATATTCAAAGAAACTGAGTTGTAACTGCCTTCTATAAAGGAGAGTATTTATTTTAGCTTTCCTTTCTATTTATTTTCAGGAATTAAAGGAATTGCCCAGCCTTCTGCTTTTATACCTACAGCTGAAAGTAATTCCTTTCAGCCTCAAGTGAAGACTTTGCCATCTCCTATTGATGCTAAACAGCAGTTGCAACGGAAAATCCAGAAGAAGCAGCAAGAACAGAAACTACAATCCCCTTTGCCAGGAGAATCCTCAGCAAAAAAATCGGATGGCACTACAACCAATGGAGTAACTAATCTCTCTAATGGAAATCCTGCGATCCTTTCTCCTCAGCCTATTGGTATCGTGGTGGCAGCTGTCCCTAGTCCCATTCCGGTAATACCATTGAGTAGTGTTTGGCTTTACTGGATGGTGGGAAATCAAGCATTGAATTAAAGGTGGCACATGAGAAGGAGGCAAGTGTAGGTGTAGATTTAGTTATAAATTGATTTTGTGACCAGAAATTGACTTAGCTTCAGTTAGTTGTCCTTTATTCAGGATATAGGTCCATGAGTACAAAGCTAGCTATAAAATGAACGTAAGTGAAAATACAGAGACCCAACACATAATAAAGTATGCACCTAACCAGTCCGAGCTTTATGTAAGGGCTGAGTGATTTTCAGAGTTGCTTCATCTCTAGTTAAGCCAAGATGACAACTGTGAATGTCTTTTAGTTTGATCTTTTTTTTCTTTTTAACATTCAAATGAAGCAAAACTGTGATGGTAATACTTTTTTGTACACCTGTCTCTGTGGCTTGCTGGACCTAAGAAGACCTTGGCCAAGCCCTTTAGCTACTGTGAGTCTGTTTCCTTATCAGTGAATAGAGGTCCTGGTCTCCTTTCCTGTCTCACACAACTGAGACTGTGATGAAGGAGCTTTTAAAATTAGAGCGCATCAAGCTAAAACAAGGTGGAGTTTTATGTTATTTATGGTATTATTAAGGAGATATTTTATCTTTGTTGTTTTCTTGTTCTTATCATCATTATCATCATATCATTAAAACATGGAATACCTGGTAACCACACTCTTACACTATTCTTTGTGGAGCAGACTTGGGGAGACAGTAGTAATCTGAGACCTTATCCATAGTAGTTTAGTTATAACATCCAAGGCAGACCAGTTTGTAAGATAGTCTTCCCTGTGGAGGAGTCGTCTTGGGAGACTCCAATAGATAACTTTATAATTTCTTTAAGATTTTATCCTCTCTTCCTGTAACTACTTAAAAGTCATTGTTTTGGCAAGTATTCATCACAAGCATGAAGTTTTTGTTGTGTTCATTGAAAAGTGTCTTCATGTTCTTACATATTATTGCATTTTATAACTATATTCTACTATATTGCATGTATTTCTAATATTTGTGTCTTTGTATAGAAGCTGGTACAGTCTAACATAGAACTTCTTTTTCTTTGTAGCATTACATTTATTAAATGCCTTAATATTATACAGACATATGAATTATTGTTTCTATCCTAGGCTTGTTAAAACTTATATTTTTGTCTTCCACCTCTTAACAGGTCCAGCGGACCAGGCAGTTGGTAACTTCACCAAGTCCAATGAGTTCTTCTGACGGCAAAGTTCTTCCTCTCAATGTACAGGTGGTCACGCAGCACATGCAGTCTGTGAAACAGGCACCAAAGACTCCTCAGAATGTTCCAGCCAGTCCTGGTGGAGATCGTTCTGCCCGGCACCGCTACCCTCAGATCTTACCCAAACCAGCCAACACCAGTGCGCTCACCATCCGCTCCCCAACTACCGTCCTCTTTACTAGCAGTCCCATCAAAACTGCTGTTGTCCCCACTTCACACATGAGTTCTCTAAATGTGGTGAAAATGACAGCAATATCCCTTACACCCAGCAACAGCAGTGCCCCTCTTAAACATTCTGCCTCAGCAAACAGTGCTACAGGAACAGAAGAATCGAGGACTGTCCCACAGATAAAGAATGGTTCTGTTGTTTCACTTCAGTCTCCTGGATCCAGGACCAGCAGCACCGGGGGGACATCTGCTGTGGAAGTCAAAATGGAACCTGAAATGCCGTCGGACGAGCATCCTGCACAGTGCCAAGAGAATTCTGAAGGAACTAAAGCTCCCAGAACAACACCTAGTGCCCTTTTGGGGCCGAAGTGTAACACAGAAGGAGTAGCGCAAAAACCTTCCAATGAAGGTGTCATTGAAATAAAAGCAACTAAGGTCTGTGACCAGAGGACCAAATGTAAAAGTCGCTCAAATGAAACTCTGCCAGGCACTTCAACAGGCAATAATCAAAGCACGATCACTCTCTCAGTTGCCACTCAGAACTTAACTTTCACCAGCACCAGCTCACCATCTAATGGTGACTCAATAAATAAAGACCCTAAATTATGCACTAAAAGTCCAAGAAAGCGACTTTCTTCTGCATTGCAAGAGTCCCAGGTGCCTCCAGTAAAGAAACCAATCGTGGAACCGCTTTCTGCAGTTATTACAGAGGGCCAGAAACCAGGCAGTGTTACGAAGGACCAAAAGGTTCCACATTCAGGGAAACCAGAAAGTTCGACAGCAGGTGCTCAGATTCCCAGCAAGGTATCAGTAAATGTCAATTCACACATAGTGGCAAGTCGACCCTTGAATTCAGCTCTTATTACCAGTGATCCAGCTTCAGAACAGCAAACACCATCATCATCTCCAGATATAAAAGTAAAACTTGAAGGGAATGTCTTTCTCTTGGACAGTGATTCAAAACCCGATGGCAGCTTTACTTCAAATGAATGGCAGCAGGTCACTAAGGATTCTGAGTTCATATCTGCGAGCTGTGAACAACAGCAAGATATCAGTGTTATGACAATTCCTGAACACTCTGACATCAACGACTTAGAGAAATCTGTTTGGGAGTTAGAAGGAATGCCACAGGACACATACACCCAGCAGCTGCATAGCCAGATGCAAGAATCTTCTTTGAATCAAATACAAGCACAGTCTTCAGATCAGTTACCTCTACAGTCTGAACTAAAGGAGTTTGAGCCTTCTGTTTCCCAAACAAATGAAAGTTACTTTCCTTTTGATGATGAGCTTACACAAGATAGTATTGTGGAAGAGCTGGTGCTTATGGAACAGCAAATGTCAATGAACAATTCTCATTCCTATGGTAATTGCCTGGGAATGACCATTCAGAATCAGTCAGTAACTCCAGGAGCTCCAATGTCATCTCATGCCTCGAGCACCCACTTCTATCATCCAATCCATAGTAACGGCACTCCAATCCATACTCCCACCCCCACCCCCACCCCTACCCCAACCCCAACCCCAACCCCAACTCCAACATCTGAAATGATAGCTGGGTCTCAGAGTCTGTCACGGGAGAGCCCCTGCTCCAGGCTAGCCCAGACCACTCCTGTGGATAGTGCTTTAGGAAGTAGCCGACACACACCCATTGGTACTCCACATTCTAACTGCAGCAGTAGTGTCCCTCCCAGCCCCGTTGAATGTAGGAACCCATTTGCATTTACCCCAATAAGCTCCAGTATGGCGTACCATGATGCCAGCATTATCTCAAGTAGTCCTGTGAAACCGATGCAGAGACCCATGGCCACTCACCCTGACAAAACCAAACTTGAATGGATGAATAATGGGTATAACGGGGTTGGTAATTCATCCGTTTCTGGCCACGGCATTCTCCCAAGCTATCAGGAACTAGTAGAAGACCGTTTCAGGAAACCTCATGCTTTTGCTGTGCCTGGACAGTCTTACCAGTCTCAATCCAGACATCATGACACTCATTTTGGTCGTCTGACTCCTGTCTCTCCTGTGCAGCATCAAGGTGCCACTGTAAATAACACCAACAGACAGGAGGGTTTTGCAGTCCCTGCCCCTCTTGATAATAAAGGAACTAATTCATCTGCCAGCAGCAATTTCAGATGCCGTAGCGTGAGCCCTGCTGTTCATCGCCAACGTAATCTTAGTGGAAGCACCCTCTATCCAGTATCTAATATCCCCCGATCTAATGTGACACCCTTTGGAAGTCCAGTAACCCCAGAAGTTCATGTTTTCACAAATGTTCACACAGACGCATGTGCCAACAACATAGCTCAAAGAAGTCAATCAGTTCCATTGACAGTCATGATGCAGACAGCCTTCCCAAATGCTCTTCAGAAGCAAACAAACAGTAAAAAAATAACCAATGTTTTGTTGAGTAAACTGGATTCTGACAATGACGATGCAGTGAGAGGTTTGGGCATGAATAATCTGCCCTCCAATTATACAGCCCGGATGAATCTCACTCAGATTTTGGAAACTTCCACTGGTTTTCCTAGTGCCAATCCACAGAATATGATTGATTCCAGCACTTCTGTTTATGAATTCCCAACACCATCTTACCTCACCAAAAGTAATAGCACCGATCAGATCAGTTATTCTCCTGGAGAGAATCAAGCACAATCAGAAATGGGAGAGCAAGAGTTAGATTTCAGTAGCACTGTTAAAGACCTGTTGAGTGGAGATAGCCTGCAAACCAACCAGCAGCTGGTAGGTCAGGTAGCATCTGACCTCACTAACACTGCATCTGATTTCTCTAGCGATATCAGGTTGTCTTCTGAGCTCTCAGGCAGCATCAATGATTTGAACACTTTAGACCCAAATCTACTGTTTGATCCAGGTCGTCAGCAGGGACAAGATGACGAAGCTACACTGGAAGAATTAAAGAATGACCCATTGTTTCAACAAATTTGCAGTGAATCCATGAGCTCTATGACTTCATCAGGTTTTGAATGGATAGAAAGCAAGGACCATCCTACTGTTGAAATGTTGGGTTAAATTGTGTTTTATAATATGTAGCACACTGTATCTAAAGACATATGTATTGTATTTGTCTTAATGGAAGTGCCTCCCGCAGCAGAAACACTTACTATTAATTGTGACATTTTAAAAGAGTTTGCTGCAGAAGTGGTTTCTTCTTCAGTAGGAAATGGTTAGACTCGCCTCAGTTCTTAACAAGTTTCTGAAGACAGTAGGCTGTAGAGGAATAAGTACTAGGTTTTAAATTTTTCAATGTTCCCCATTTAAACACATTGTTTGCTAGTAAACAGTTGACTAACCAGCTTTTAACAAGAGCAGTCTAGATCTTTATTTCGTGTAAGTTCATTTTAATTCATTGGTTGATCTGCATAGACTTTAGTGGAAACCATTGATTTTAGGTATAGGCTATTTTGTTGTTGGCATTATCTTTTAGATAAGAAATCATAGTTAAGGTGAACTGTAGACAAGAAGGTCTTCCTTGAAACAGGGATAATATTCAGGTTATTATAAAGTATTTAGGCTTGAAGCATAGAGCTACTGTGGAGTGAAAAATCTCTGTAGGACTTTCTGGGACTTGAGTACCATTTGCACCTGCAATGAAGGGCTTGAATAGGAGAAATTAATGGAAAGTTAAATATTTAAGGAAAACAAAAGCTGCACTAAAATTTTTAAAAGGCAAAGTTAGTAGCCGTTTATATTTGTGACCTTGCATTAGTCTTATTTTAAAATGTTGCTTTTAATGTGGAGCCAGCACACCCACACAGACATGCGCACATGCACACGTACACAGAACAGTAATTCCAAATGCTGTAATTCAATAAAATAAAACAAGCATGTTAGAAAAATATTTTGCTTTGTTACTTGGTAGTTGAGATAGGGGAATTTAGAAAGAAAATAACATTTTCTTCGTTTCATCACAATGGATGCATGCACATACTAAAATTCTATTTAAGCTTTATTTTGAAGGTTTTTAATTACAATTATTTTAAGTCCTCAGTCAGTGACTGACTCCTTCACTCCTCCTGAATTTAGTAATACAATTTGATCATGGGACCCCTTTGAAAAATAAGTAGGAAAGAGATAATACGAAAAGCTACACAGAAACATTTCACCACCTGAGGTCAGAAGCCACATATCTTTGTATCTCTGATAAAACAAAGGGGATATCAACAGTACTTGAAGAAGAGGAGCATTTTATTACATGCTTAATTTATTTATTGTGATAACCACAATTGCAAAAAAGCACTCAGGATTTGTTTTAAAATGTTCTCTCTGTGGCTCCCGTTTTGTTTTATGAATAATTATTTATGAATTTCACATTGACACAAAGCTGCCCACTAATTGACAGGTCCATTTAAGTGAGTTTCAAGATCACTTCCAAATAGATTTAACAATTGCCATTAAGTTTTTAAAACTGACATTAAACCATTGCTAGGCTACCATGAACCCAGCCAAGTTTTCCCTTACCTTCATTAGTAAGCCAATCAGAGACTACAATCAATGAATATTTAACAAATGTGATGAAGTTTAATTTAATAAGGCTTTTCAATAAATTTGCAAGGTAGGGTGTTAACATATTTTGATAAATTCATGGTGCTAGGGTTGGCTCAGAGGTTTATATATTGATAATGTCCTAGTTATTGGCATTTGTATGTGTTTGCTGTTATCTTGATTTAATGATCTGTTAGGTCTTTTTCTTGATGCTAGTTATTTCTTCACTGTACATTGAGACACAGCACTACTGCACACCAAAGTATGCAATACCCAAAGGAAACTACGTGATTTCTTAACAAATGACGGGAGCCTTTCTATATAAGATACTCTGAAAAGGAGATTTTGAGGCCATTCTAATCCCTTGTTTACATTATTAGCTTCCTACTAATATGAAAATAATGGAAATCTTTTTTTATAAAAATATAAAGACTGGAGGATTTTAACCCCCTGTACAGTATTGCAGCAAACACTTTAAATTTGGTTGAATTCGTCCAGCAAACTTTCTGAGGTTCATATATTGCACTAAATTTGTTGAACCTGTGGTAGGCACATCTCTTAGGATAAATGCAACCAATACAGTCCACAGATTAAACTTTTTAAATGTGTTTCATTATGAAAAGACAAAATGTCATCAAAGTGACAGATAAAATTGTCTTATGTAGCAATGTGCATTGATCTCAATGAGATATTTCTATTTCTTATTCTCTTACATGAGAATATTACAGCAGGAAGAATTAAGTTTAGTTTGCTCACCATGTTAATACATGATCACAAAATGTGCATGAGTGTAATTGACTTATCTTGTACAGTACTAGGTATTCCTGTAACCACTCTTTTTTTCTCTTGGCTGTATTGAAACTGGTTCAGTGTTAACCAGGCAAACATAGTTATTCACAAGTTACTTGTTTATGTTTACTAATTCTGCTTAGTTGAATATGTTCTTCTCTCAGATTATTTTCATTGTTTTGATGTTTAAAACATTCTGCATACTGTTTATCATAAGACTTCATGAAGTAAATAATTTTGCATATAATTGCAATAAGCACTGACTTTTGAACTGAAAAGAAGGAAAAGTGTTTTTTTGTGCAGTGCATCTGAGGTTCATCTAATAGTCTTGTACGATAATGTGCTTTACTACACCACAAATGACAAAAACAAGCCCTGTTTCATGTTTTCATTTAGTGCAAAAAGTCAGATTTCCCCAGTGTTTTGTTGTCTGTTGTACCTGCTGAAACTACAGTAGTTGAATATTGCAGTAGCATTTCAGTTCTCTTTTTTTATTGAAAGTGCTCAAAAATTGTTTTTTAAATGTTTTCAAAAACAATTAAAAACATTTTATATTAAACTGACTGGACCTTAAGGTGATTTGTGAGATCTGTTTTATATAGGCAGCATGCCATTCTGAAAGCAACTCTGATGCGACGCTTTCTTTGATCTCGTGAAAGTTGGGGAACTGGATAACAATCAGCACAAGGCAGAAGAGTACTGGGTGTCTGCCCTCTACTCTTATTAATCCAGAAGGATGCACAGAACTTTTTTTACCCATTGGAACTCTGCTGTTCACTTAGGGTTTGTTACTAATGAATGGTATGTGGTTTTTGTTCTGCCTACTCTCACACTGTTTGCTTTAAAATGTTAGCCTGTGGACTACCTAGATATGTATACTTTTGGAGCTTTGAATAGAACAGTAATAGGCAAAAATGGAGAAAATTTTAAAGCACAGCTGTGTCCAAAAGCAATATAGGCATTTTGCTGAAACAAATACAAAGTGATACGCACTGAATTTGTAACCCAGGACCTGAGCTATACATATGGAAGCAGGAAAGAGCAGCCAGAAATTTCAACTCTTAACAGAGTAATGATGAAACCAGGGTCTGAGATGGAGTTCCCTCACTCCTGAAAAGAAACTGTGATGCAGCAACAAGCAGTACCTGGAACTTACATTGTAGCCAGGGCCTGAGCCATAGGGCCTACTCAGCTGTGCATCCAGAACTGTACAGATCTGAAGTATTGAGAGAAAATGAAACCAATCCTAAGGCAAACAACAATCACAAAAGATGAAAGTGAGAATTCATATTCCAAGGCATGAAGAACAGGACAAAAGAAGATTCTTAGTAAGGACTACATTGAGAAGTAGACTATTTTTTCGTGTCCTGCCTTCCCTCTTTGAGTTGGAAAATCAGGTATTTTGAGTATCATAAATGCAAATTGCCCCAGCACCTAGTACCATTTTAGAAGGCCAAATTTTTTATTTTTTTTAATCTATGAAGTAGAGATTGATTTTGATGTATATGTTGTAAGTGGATTTTAGAATTACAAATTTGTGGATGGGATCATTTATCAGTATTACCTAAAATTTTTTAAAGTATGTATATGACCAGCCCTAGAGCTGCAATCTGCTTATAAGATGGAAGGAGAAAAGCAAAAAGACAATTTTCAAGACAGATTTTATTTCTAAAAAGTACTTAATTTTGGAGAGAATTTTATATATATGAGAATGGTATTACTACCAATATGGAGTATTTCCTTACAGTAGAATACTTCATGTATGTTTTCATTTCCTCATTTTAACAATCCTGAAAGAATAGAATTTTTCAAGTGAGAAAATTTTAGCTAGGAGATTAACTGGTAGGCGTAACAGTTAATAACTGGAAGAGCCAGGATTGGCTTGGTTCCAAAGCCTACTTCTTACCCATTATGCTGTACTTGAGATACTTGATTAAACTATGTACAATAATAGTTTAATTTGGTGGCTGCTTTGAAACTTTCAGTCTGGCTTAAAATTTAGAATTAGGTTTGATTTTTGTAGAGATTTTATTTCTCTTCAATTTTTACATCTTCTACACTTCTTCACTTTTGTTGCTTTTGGGTTTTACCTGTATTTCATAGCTTTCCTCTAAATTATTCTAGTCCCTTTCCTTCCTCTCCCCACATAGAAATAACATGCCCTAACATGTTGGAAGTCAAAGGAGAAGTAAGGTTTAAATACAAAATTTTGTTTTGCACACAGCTTTTCAAACACATTTCTCAGATGTATACTTAATCATGTTTATTTTTAAGCCACTTTTAAATTTCATCAAGAAGTAAAAATTAGGTGTTGAATGAGTAATAAAATGCTGAAATGTCAGTCTTTGTGCCAGGTGCTAGAGAAGACACCTGCCACTTTGGAATTTTCCAGTATAATGGAGAAGACACACAACTAGATTGCAGGATGCAGTGAGGTTACTACAGCAGAGACTGTAGCATTCCCCTAAACCAACTGCACAAAAGACTATTTACCAGTTCCCTTGAGTTAAGTGGAGCCATTTACCAAGGACTCAAAAGGATTGTGCAACTTCCTTTGGTGTGTTCTTGCCCTCCTCCCTCCCTGCTAGCTGGAATGCACATGTGATGACTAGAACTCTGGTGGCTGCCTCTGCCTGAGGAAAAGCCAAATGCTGAGGATGATGGAACGTATACAGAACACAGAAGGAGCCTTAGGCCCTGGTGACTGAGGGAAGCTGCCCTACCCACTAGTTCTGATTGTCTACCTCTGGATGTGTTTCACATGAGGAATTTCTTTCTGGTTTAAGTCCGTTATTTTGAGTATTCTGTCACTCAGTGCAAATCCAAAGTCTAACCCAACAGAGCCACCAGAAGATTTTAAGCAGGAGTGGGGAATGTTAGATTAGCATGAGGACCACTAACTCAGCATGGTTTCCCCAGAAGATTGCAAACCGCATCTCTTGTTCACTGGAATTGGCAGATCAGGATAGGATCTTAGAATACCCTAATGTCAGCATGACATTTGAATACTGGTTCATAAGTATCCAAAAAAAAGATAAACATAAAATGAGGTGGATTATAGCCTGCTTGGACAACTTATAAAAATTACAAATTGAAAGGCATTCTGGTCATTGGCATCAGACCTCGATTTAGGTCTCAGTTTTGTCAGGTTACAACCATGACCCTGAGCAGGTCATCTGAATACTAGTAAAGACAGCCACCTGGGAGATGGGATCGCGTTTGCCAGCAGTGGGCCACATTGTTCTGCCTGTTCACTGTTTGCCAACATCTTGAATGAAGACAGAAAATGCTGTGGCAAATACGGACTGGCTTGCTGCATTTCTGTTCCAACCTCTTCCTGGTATGCAGATCCTGGGAAGCCAAAAACTGCATTTTCTAGATGTCCTGACAGCTTGGGTTCTGGATATGAATTATATTCCATCTATTAGATGCATTCTTGAAAGATTCGGAGGATGAAAATGAAGCAGAAACTATCCTAGTCACTTGTGGTGACTTTTCTTGCAAACAAGCTCATAGTGACAAAGTTTCTCAGCAGCACCATTCTAGAGTCTATTCTTGAGATTCTGAACCATCAAAGGTCCATTTGCCAGTGACAAGTCACAGGTCTGCAAATGCCAAGATGCGGGGGAGTGGTGGCGGTGCGAGTGCAACAGGGTCAGCAGCTTCCTGGTCTGGCTTCCTTGACTCTGGTGATTCCAGATATGAACTCACTTCCCCGATGGTCACCCATCCATTGTGCTGTTCTGGGAGTCATTTCAGGAATCACACTGTAAAGCTTGTTCTTCCACTTACATAAAAGCACCTAATTCTCTGCATTGTCTTTTTCTGCCTAAAATACCTAGAATAAGCATTTCCTAGACTGAACTCTGACTCATTGACATGCCTATAGACTAGGAGTCAAAAACATCTGAGATCTAGACCTCGTTCTGTCCTTTCCCCTTTCTGCACTTCATGAATAATGATCCTTGTTCTGGTTACTTTCCAAAATCTTTGGTGAAGTTCAGTGAGATATGACAATATTTTGTAAACCCTACATATAAG